TGGACTATTTATTGTGCATCAGTGAAGCATCGTGAAGCTGCTTATGTTGCCAGCTTCGATGTTGCCGGAGCCGCACTTGAAATGTTGAAACTGATGTATCGCTCAAAGTCGAACTTTATTTTATAACGTTCTTGGAATAGCCCCTTTTAAATATGCAGTTCAATTTTCTCTCCCCTTCTATATATGGGTGACCAAAGGTCATCTCCATATTGTTCGAGAGCCATAGTCGTAGATCTAACAAAAGCCTACTTGAGCCGGTACAAGGTGCAGCACAGTCTTTTGTGTACTCTGCAAACAGGGAAGCAAGGTCGAACCTGCCCTATGAATGCAGCACAGTGAATGCTGTCTCGGGGGGCATATTCCGGGAGGTACACAATTTACATACAAAGTTTATTGTGCATTCTACGAGTAAATAACATAGCTATCGCATAGGGTTAAAGTCTCTTTCTGGTTAAGATCAATGGTGATAGGTAGATAGTCCTGGGCTGTTGGGATTCTCTAGGCATACTTGGCCACCAGACCCGCCACAAAGGTGACATACTCCTGCTGGGCGGCCTCGGTGGACTTGCCCTTCTGCTTGTTCCAGGCCTCCCACTTGGCCTTGCCCTTCAGGTCGAGGAGACCCGGTTTGCTGGTGTTGTTGTCGCCAACGGACGCCTGCTTGAAAAGGGCGTACAGCTCCAGGAACTCATCATCGCTGGGGCGCTTTGTCAAATTCTTGACCTTCTCTGCGGCTGCGTTGAATTGCTGTAAGAAAAATAAAGAGTGTGATATAGATTAGCTGTCAATCGGAAAGGTGATAAGCCTATCTGACATGCTGAATCGGCTGTACATTGAATATAATGCAAGGTACAGCAATCAGCAATCAGAAATAGAGAGGAAGTGTGTACTTACCTCGGTTAAGGACATTCTGGTATAGATTTGATCTGCAAGAAGTGTGGAAGTTTTAAGAATAAAATCAGTTATTGTTACGATGGGATTGTACTATTAGTGATCGCCAAACTAGTTTGGAGCAAAATGTGTCAAGAACATGTGTCACCGAAATGTTTTTTGAACTTTGGCACGCATCAGACAGTCTCGACGAGCACTGCTAATAGTGACTAGGCTCTAGGGTCCAACAAGTCCAACTTTCACCTGTATTTATGGCGCGGAAGCGGACGCAGCAACAAGCAGAAGACACACATATTCATCTCTAAGCCAATTATGAAATTATTAAATGTGGAACTTTGGAAACCGTTAGCCACCTTTTTAGTCCAATCAAGCAAAATGTATCCAAATATGGATACGGGCGTGGGCAAAAGTACATATCGCTCATACATACATATGTACATACTCCAATGTACATCTATATATATGTGTGTTTCTGCATGAAGTATTCGCATGTGGCCGAATTCTCACAGTTCTTACTATCTAAATGAGTTCGATATTTGTCACGCGTAGGTACTAAAGATTTCCTGCATAAACTAATCGGTGTAGGCATAGCCAGGCACCAGGCATTATCACTTGACTCGACTTACTTGTAGGTCTCGGCCGTTACAGAACTAAACACAGTCTGACTTCCAATCTTGATTTGACTTTCAATATAAGTATTTCCACATCGCACGATCGCCCCACAACCACAAAGCTTTCTTCCACAGAGAGAGGGACAGACGAGACACTCTCTGGAGCTTTGTCAATGTTCTTTTCTGTTTTCTGAGTGGGCTTTACGGGTGTATTTCTCTCTGTTGCAGGCAGCTTTGCTCGAGTGGGCTGGTTGGGCAATCGTGATAGTGCAGCCGAACTGATAACAGCAGCGATTTACTGATATACTTACCATTGGGAAACCTACGAAGGCAGAGTCGAAGCAAAGCCACGTAGCACGGCCACCCATCGGGTTAGGTTCGAAGTTCGAGCGGCTTTTCTATCGCAACTTTTGGCCAAAAGTACCGCATGTACTACAGCAGCAATACCCCATGAAAGCTCCAATAAAAAGCCGCTTAACAGGGCCAACACCTGACGATTACTGTTTTCATATCTGTTCTGGTATCTTTATTGCTTGAAAAGTTAGTGGTAGTGCAAGGGAAGTGTTAACCGGCTTAGGCGTACTTGGGGGCATACTTCTCATACACCTTGACGTAAGCATCCTTGGCGGCCTCCTTGGACAGACCCTTCTGAGAGCTCCAGGCCTCGTACATAGCCTTCTTCTTGAGATCCAGAACGCCGGGTTTGTCGATGTTTACATCGCCAACGGTTGCCTGCTTGTAGAGACCGTAGAACTCCAGGAATTCGGCATCGGTGGGCTTCTTGGTGAACTTCTTAGCGAGTTCAGAGGCTTCTTCGAACTATTTGCAAACAGAGATCAGTATCGAAATATCCAAATCGAAATGGTTGTATCTATGATATATTTACTTACGGACACCATGTTGTTAGAGTTGAGGTTCTTGCTAAAAGTGCTGCGGGTAATTTAATTGGTAATTGGCATTAGGGGTGGGCTGTTAGATCTATAAGGATGTGAGTGCTTACCACTTGAAATGGCGACAGGCGAATGAGTGCTCAGGGGCCTTACAGTCGAGCCTTTTATAGGTCCAAACATTCGAGTTAGAGCCCAAGCGAAATTTATACCCATTCTGCTGATTAGACCTGAGTTTACCTCACCCGACTGTGCAGATATTGATATCTTTATTTCGCCAATTTTGCTCCTAACATTTTTAAAGGTAGCGACATGGAAGATAGCCCCCGGATACACTTATCATTTATAACACCAGAAAAGTGGCTAACCAAGTGTCTGAAACGAAGGGAGCACCGTAGATGGACACACCCGCGAACTTTCGTCCCGCACACTGAAGTTTATACAATTGGTAATAAATTAGTGACGAGGGTTGACATACAGATAAAAGCTGTAATCTCATAGATTATAAAATCTATTAAATATATGTGATACTTTTATGTACAAACAGTAAAAGCATTCGTACATTCGTTTTCTAGGTCAGCGACGAAAGGCATTATCCTCCCTTACATCTTTACAGCTTAAGAGATGATTGATCATTCCGGAACTGTAAGATGGATTCCAACGTTTACGGCAAAGTTCCGTTTATCATCACATCCCTATTTGGTTTATTCGAGAAATAATTCTGATTAAAAAGGTTGATTAACACCTTATATTGGCCCCAGTCAATAGCGCTCGAGAACCCTGGTCAAACTGGCGTCAAATTATTCAATTTCCGTCGATCCCGCCGATTCCGCCGAATCCTTCCATCCCACCCTAACCACCGATCCCACCACATACTTCGATGTCCAGTCGACAGTTCTGCACTCCGACAGCATCAACAAGCGCATTCCGATAACGTCAGCAAACGGCCGCCTCAGGATTCTGGAGAACATTTTGATAGATAAGTTTGACAAGTCCGTCTTTTGAAAATCTATAAAACGTACACTTGTTTTTCCAGAGGCAGCCTCACTACCTTATGTGGCTAATAACACTACCAATTTTAGCTCAGCCGACTCTCCATAGATTTTGATGAGCAATACCTTAGCGAAGCCCAATTAATGCACCTGTACATAAAAATATAGAGGATATATGCATATCAATATATAATTTTTTTCGACTTTTCCTGATTTTGTAAAGCCAAAAAAAGTCAAAAAACATTTTTGCATTTAAAAGCTTAATAAAAGCACAAAGGGTTTGGGTCTAGCTGCATCAATGAGCTTTTCAGATAAAGAAAGTACTTCATAACCAGATCTAAGATACTTAAGTTATGTGCAAAAACCAAACTATATTTCTACTATTTTAACTACTATATTAACTATTTTAACTATTTCTGATATAAAAAAAATGTTCATCATACTATTTATAAGCCCAATTAAGGCGGTAGCTGGGGGGAGAGAAATTCTTCCGCAAGCATTCAAGATATCCAGTGCCACCGCGGCTGCAGCCACCTCGATAGGGTCATGTTTATCCGGGAGCAACCAATTTAGCAAGGGCGAGGCATCATCGTCGGCATCGGCAGAATCATCGCACTGCGTCAACATGGCTCCGAACCAGACCAATTACCATGTCGACGTCCATCATTTTCGAGGATGAACTATATGCAACCCACCTGCTGGATATGAAGAAGCGCCGCCAGAGTATATCTATGAGCTTCAGTGCCCAGGACACTGCGAGTATTGTAGTGCTACCAGCGGTGACAAACATCCCAAGTTGGCCAGCAAGCTTCTTGCGGAACCTTACGTATGCCTGCAGTATGTCTTTTGCGCCATGAAGAGAATGTCAGGACACCGGAGGTGCCCGGACCAAGCTTAAACAATATTCCTGTTGTGCCTCTATGTCAGGACAAACGGCTTTGTGTCGCATCGCATTACTGAGTAGTTTTTATTGAATAGTGCATATGACAAATTAAATACAAACTAAAACCGATTTTTTCTCTTATCGATATCAAATATATTTTTCAATTTAAATGCCGACTTTTTTGAACCCTTTGTGGACAATTTTGAAATTTGTTGACTGGTTTAATACCAACATTTGGTATGAGTTGGTATTTGATAATGTGGCGCCACCTAGAAACCAAAATTCAGACTCTTACATGAATTCTACATATAAATGAATTCTGCCAAAAGCTTTGCAAAGCCCCAAAAGTATAATTAACTTTTTCCCCAGAACGTTGTGCATAAAATATACCGTCTAATTAAATAATTGCTGCTGATTAAAGACCATTCGACGAGTTCGAAAAACAACTTTGCTTTAATTGAATTTAATTCCCAATTTATTAGGGGATAGTTTCTAGAGATTTAATGTCATTAAAACTTGACAACAGTTTTCATATAAAATTAAATTGATTGTTGTCCATATAAAGATACATAAAATATATGCTAATCATTGGAACCCCCCCTTAGAACTCTAGAAAGTGTTCTATGAGAACCATGAGATAAGGCATGGCCATCATGTGATACGACTGGAGTGGGTCATATGATCGTTTTTTTTGAGACGCGTAAGCAGAAACTTTTTAACTGATGAAAACACATTATCTAATTTAAATGCATGGGTGTTTGTTTGGCTTATTACAAAATTACATTACAATAAATACATAAGTTTTCAACTGTGATTCAGATGCATCCAATGGGAGAGGGAAATTTGGTATAAAAGGTAACAAATTAATGGGTCTACAGCCCCACAGCTTATTCGGACTGGGCGACGTACTTCTTGTATACCTCGATGTAGTATGCCTTGGCATCGTCAATGGTCAGACCGGCCTTGCTCTTCCAGGCGTTGTAGCGAGCCTTCTTCTCCTCATCCTCGGGCTCCTCAATGTTGCAGTCGCCCACTGTGGCCTGCTTGTAATAGCCATAGAACTCCAGGAAATCCTCCTTGGTGGGGGGGTTTTTCAAGGACTTGGCCTTCTCAACGATCTCCTCAAACTATTTAAAGACAACGAAGCATACATTAATATGCACTACTCTAAGTCGATATTCATATGCGGAAACTTACGGTCACCATGTTGTAAATTTGTTGTGGTTGTGGGAAACAAAAACAAACTGTGAGGATCGTGCCATGGACACTGTTTTATATTGCCAAACATAGCTCATGTTTTTCGCTAATCTTATCGGAGGCCCAGCTGCAATGGTAGTTCCCACTTAGGCTTATCATAAAAGGCTCTCTATGTACGACTGTATTTTGGGGGTAGGTGGAGTGCGCTTCCCGAATAAAGTATATAATTAGTCAGCTCCGGGAAGGGGCTTATCGGAGCTTCTGTCAAGTATGCTCTTGCACTTGCCAAAAAAAAATTTAGTCAGCCATGTATCAGGTACTACATACATATGTATATGTATGCCCCAGGAACATATGTACATGCATATATGTTATCTGAGTGATTGATACGACTAGACGGCCCTAAGAGCCGGGGGTAACACTCACAATTTATAGCCAGAAATCTGGATAGCGCTCTTCACTCTACTTTTACCTATAGCTCTTGTGAGTCACGGTCTGGCCACCGATCATGCCGAAGTCGAAAGTTTTAATATAAGTGATAATAATTATTATGCCGCTAGCTCAGCAAAGATAGTCCTATCAGCTTTTAAAGTTTCCCACAATATTAATTAAACAATGGGAAGGGGGTCTTGGGATTGGGAGTGTCAGAAGATAGAAGATACACATTTGGCCAATGGGTTATCCGAATTAATTAAATTCCTAATCCCAATCGCCCGACACGAGCTATAAAAGTCAGATGCGCGGGGCCTGGAATCACCTTTTAGGACCCAATCAGCCAAGCAACAAGCAACATGGTCAGTTTTGAGGAAGCCGCCGAATTAGCCAAGAACTTCGCCAAGAAGCCCAGCGACTCCGAGTTTCTGGAGTTCTACGGCCTCTTCAAGCAGGCAACCGTTGGCGATGTGAATATCGACAAGCCCGGCGTTCTGGATCTCAAGAAGAAGGCTATGTACGAGGCCTGGAACTCTCAGAAAGGTCTCTCCAAGGAAGCTGCCAAGGAGGCCTACATCAAGGTGTACCAAAAGTACGCTCCCAAGTACGCCTAAACGCCATGTTTAAGGATTAATCTGACAGGATAAAATAAACTCGTAATCTTACCACAAAAATCAAAGAAACAAAAGTAGACAGTTCCATTGAGGATCCGCCTCAAAAGGGTGCCTCCGACTGTGGCATGGTCACGGCGGCAGCTATAAGTGGTTTGGCCTGGCCAGCCTTCATTAGCATGACACGGACGAGGGAGTTGTCCAGGGTCAGGCTGGAGGGTGGCAGTTTGTCCATTGGATCCAGCACAGTGACCACTTCGAAGTCAATGCGCAAGGGGATGCCCGGCAGAACGCTCGGCAATCTGGACAGGGTCTGTTGTATGGCGTAGTGGCGACGATCCGCGTGGAGCAGAACCGTCAGATTGGAGGCCATCTTGAACGTCGAAAGGTTCTGCACGGTGAGGTAGAGGCGAAAGGCAGGTCCACTGCCGCACACCTCTGCCGAGAGCTTGACGGGAGCATGGGTCAGGTCACCGGATATTGTGCTCTCTGACGAGTTGATGGCGTTGATGGTTGCACGGGCCGCAGTGTGCCGCAGCCGCCAGAGCTCAACCTGAAAGCTGCCGTAGGTTGCTGGAAAAAAGACGAAGAAACGTCGATTAGGAGAATCACAGGGCAGGCAGCGGGCTCACCTTTGGCCTGCTGCTTCTCGCGTGCCGCCTGCTCCACAAATATGGAACTCTTTTTGGGCTTGTCCAATATTGAGGAGCCATCGATGAGCTTGTTGTCACTGGACCCCAAGCGTCTGCCGGCCAAGGCCTCCGCTCTCGGCTCGAAGCGCGAGACGCGGCGCAGTATCTTGACAATCATCTGTCCTGACTGCGTGACGAGGGTCAGCACGTGATCCTCCATGCCCATGCGCCCGTACAGCATGGCATCCACCGTCTCCTCCAGCACGAACTCGTCCACCTGATATCGCTGCAGGAAAAACTTGACGGCCCCACCCCTCAAGGCAACGGCCACTAGAGTGATGCCCAGATGTGTCATAGTCAGTGGCAGGATGCAGACGGGCAGCGATTCCAGCTGCACCTGGTAGAGCAGCTTGCCCCGCTTCGAAAAGCACTGGTAGCAGTTGTCCATGGTCGAGGCGAGTATCGTTTGGTCGATGGGCAGTAGCAGAAGACCCGTCAGCGGGTTGCTCAGCTTAAAGATCTCCTGCCCCTCGCTGTTGGACTTTCTCAGCAGATAGACCCTGCCGTTCCGGGTGGCCACCACAATGCAAAAGTCCGTTTCATAGGTGCCCTGGACGGAGAGTAGGCTGGGCACGGCCGTCTCATGGCTACAGGTCTTGCCCTGGTACACCAGGTTGAAACCCTGCGGCTCCAGTATGAATATGTGGCCTGTGTCCGTGGCCAGCACCAGGTGGGAGGGGGGATTGGCATCGCTGGAGACGCGTTTAATGCAGCACATGATCACAATGGTGCCCACACGCCCCACAGCCGAGTCCCTATGCGTCCTAATGAATGCCTGAAAGACAATTCGTGATTCAATATAATAAAATATCATATAACATGGAAAGACTCACAGGACGTTCCGCCTCGGTGAGTTGCAGCAGGCGCTGCGATTTCCTAGAGAGTTTGGCATGGTCGATGCCCCTGAGCGACTCCAGCAGAGCGTTGTGGGTGTCAGCCTGCACGACTGGCAGCTTACGCCAGACCTCCAGCTCCAGATCATCCGAATCGAGGGCGGGAATGGTGTACTTGAAGTAGGCCTTGAGGTGGCGGTAGAACAGCACGGACTCGGCTATGGCCACAGCAATGACTATGGCAGGAAGGTAAGGGTAATGAGAACCACTTTCTGAATTTTATGAAATACTCACCGGGGGTCTTTGGCTCCGTTTCGTCGATGTAGAGACTTTCAATGGCTGTCGGTATGCCAGGCAGGGGCTGCTCCTGCTTCATTTTGAGGCCTCGAAACACCTTTAAGGAGGCGCTAGGCTCGTGGGCCTCGTCCTCCAGCGAAATGTCGGCTGCCAGAAGTCGGATATAGCCATCGCCCTGGACGTCGCTCAGCGTCATACAGCTGGTCAGAGTTGTCAAGCGCGGATTTTCATCCTCCATTTCCACATGGAGCCAATTGGGAGTGCCACCAGCCATAGTTTTGATCAGTCGGATGAAAATAGTACCTTGTGGGGTGTAGTGTGAAAATGAACAGATGATTTAATATTTGGCTGCAGGACTTTTGTTTTGGTTTTCTGCACCTTAGCAACGGCGCCCGCACATTTGAAATTTAATTCCTATCGTTGTATCGATATAGATAGCCAGTCACAGCGCACGCGTACACGTTCAATTCCCCAGGGACAATGTTGTAGGCTGCGCCTACACAGTGGTTCATGGATGACGGCTATTCTTATCCGCGATTCTGTCCTTCGCGAAGGACATTACCTAACCTGTTCAGCAAAAATAAATTGAATACTTTTTATTACAACTTTATTACTTTCCTATACGCCCCATCACTTCCCTAGATGCTCTGGCACTTTTATTTCAATTGTTAGGTACCCTGATGTTTCAATGATATGGGTATGGAACCCGCTCGGCTCTGATAAGCTGGAGATTGCCTCGGAACCGGAACCGTGGCATGGCGCCCTTCATGTTTTCGGTATTTGAAATTCATACGAAATTCGGTATATTTCGGAATACAAGTATATTTCGGTTTATTTCAGTACACTTCAGTACCGTTCTCGAAAATTTCCAATTGGATCCATCCAAATTCACAAATAGATTCAAACAAATTGAAATACAATAAATTCCAATTGGATGCCTTACATACTGTGTGCCAGAAAATCCAGAAAAAATTCGAGGCGGTCACACTGCTGGACGCAAAAAGTTTCAAACGGTCACACTGGACTCCAGCGTTTTAATTTTTAACATTATTTTTGTAGTATAAGTGACTTGTTTAGGTTTATTTTACTTAAGTAATGACGGCAAAAGAGGACGAGGTACAGGTTTTCAACAAGGGCGAAAAGGTCCTGTGCTACGAGCCGGATAAATCGAAGGCGAGGGTTCTGTACAACAGCAAGGTAACAACACACAGCACACATGCCCACGCGCATACACACACGAACACACACCACGGTACAAAACGTCAGTCGGCGATGCATTCGCTTAGTTCGATTTTCCCACTGATTTTTCACCGAATATAGAACTGAATTTTCCGTAGGTTTTAAATGTTGTGGAGCACAAAGATGAACATGGCCTGAAGTACTACGACTACAAGATCCACTTTCAGGGCTGGCGGCCCTCCTATGACCGAGCGGTGCGTGGTAGTTTTCTGCTCAAAGACACTGAAGAGAATCGTAAGCTGCAGCGTGAACTGGCAGAGGCCGCACAATTACAGATGTAAGTCAATAGGTGGATTCTGTGTTTGTGTGCGAAGTGTTGTTACCGGCATTATTCTGTTTCAGAAGTGGGGGATACTCGTACAAGGGCACCCCCACACCGCCTGCTGGCAAGAAGAAGCGCTTGACTCGTGGGTTAGGCAACGTCGAGGATCAGGAAGCAGTTTTGGACACCACCCAGGGACCACTGGAACCAGAGCTGCCGCCGACCAACGGAACTGGAACTGTACTCGCTGCCGGGAACCGCTCAAGAGACAACAGTGGTGGTCGCAAGGCCGACAAGAGTGCTGGCGGCGAGGAGGTGAAAATGAAGAACACTCGCGGTCGTTCCACAGGGAAAAAGGCTGGGAAGAAAGATACGGCGGAGCTGGAGAGGTATGTCATCCAGGAGGATCGTGTGATGTTGCGCATCAGCGAGCGGCTGCGGGAGTACATGGAGTACGACTACAACATGGTTGTAAAACTGGGAAAGCAGCATGCAATGCCCGCCCGCATGCCTATTATCTGCATCCTTGAGAACTTTGTGAAGCAGCGGGCCGTGGAGCTGGCCATTGGAATCAAGCAGGACAGCAGCAGAGCGAGGAACACCCAGAGTCGAAATGCCCGCATGGAGCGGGAGTATGATCGGGTCATGTCCAAGTGAGTATCGGCAGAGGTAACACAAAATCATTCAGACAAATAATGGGTTATTATTGTGCTACATCTGCAGCGTATGCATGCTCAAGGAAGTCGTCGATGGCCTGCGCATTTACTTCGAGTTCCATGTGGAGGATCATCTGCTCTACAAGGAGGAGAAGGAGTATGCATATAACTATCTCACTGACGACAACTTAAGGAACGTCAGCATGATGCTGAACAACTCGTATGAGTTTATCAATCCCAATTGCGATACGGACCTCATCTCAATGGACGGCACCCAGTTGGGGGCTAGTGGACCCGGCCCCACAAACGGATACGGAGGCCACATTGTTAACGGATTAGAGTATGAGAAGCAGCTGCAAAGGTGTCTGCTTTATATAGTAAAGTCGAGCGGCAAGAACACGGCGCATGCCTATGATCAGCGGACATCTCCGTACACTGCTGCCTACAAGCTGCCCATGGAGATGCGCGGGTTCCTGCGCGAAACCTTTAAGTGGCGCCTGCTATCAGCGGAATCTATGCCTGAGAAATCTATGGTCTTTGGAGCTCCCCATCTAGCAAGACTGATGAGTAAGTTTTGGCTGTAGCCTAAATGATGTTCTTCGACCTCAATCCATTATTTGTATCTGCAGTTAAAGTGCCCGAGTACTTGAATATCTCGCCCATATCAAATCAAAAGCTAGAAGATCTGCTGCCACATCTGGACTCATTCATCAAGTAAGTCATATATCTGAGACCGTGTTTTTCGTAACTAAAAACTATATTGCTAATTTTGCTGTTTAGCTATTTGGAGAACCACAAAGAATGGTTCGATAAGGAGAACTACGTGCATCATCCCTCCATACACCAGGAGCAGCTGCAAAGGGACCTGCTCGAGTCACTGCAACAAACCGCATAGAATGGAATATTCACCATTTTGTGACATTTTAGTTCAAATTAATGCCTATGGTATTTTATTTATTATGCAGTTTAAAGCTTATTTCTCTCTTATTTAAGGATTTATAATTGTCATTTTCATTTTCATTTGCAAGTTTTGGTTTCTTCAAGTACACACTTTGTAAATAACTCCCTTCTATAAAAAATTTGTCCTACACATGTATAATCGAATAATGTCTATAACTACATGTGAATATGGAAAACGAGTTTAAAAAATGTTTAAACCGTTTTTTTGTTTACTTAATCTTAGGTTTAGTTGAGTAGTTTTACATGCTAGTATTTGTATTTTTTTTTTTTTTTGTGCTCAAATATATTTAAGAATTCGAAAGATGTGTATTTTTAGCATTTCAGAACTCCGTCTACTGGTCTTTCAATTGTTGTTGGAATACGTTTTGGAATGTGTTGGGGAATCATTAAGGGCTGGGGAATCACCCCTCAAAATATCTGACGTGCAATTGTAACAATTATCGGTCGTGTCCGATGTGTGAGCGTCTGTGTGTGTGTGTTTGTGTTGTGGACAGGATGGAGCCTGCCTGAAAATTCGAGATTGTTGCTTTTTGTCGTTCGCTTGGACGGCTTAGAGTAGATGCAATTGCGTTTGTAACTTATCTTTGTCATGGCGTTTGTTTGGGACGTAAACTTTGACGATGGACCCGGACCCCACCTCACTTCTGCCTCTTGGTGGCACTGCTGGCCGTGGGACGCATGAAGCTGCTCACAGAGCGATTGGTACTTGAGCTGCGCTGCTGCGGATTGGTCTTGGCCGCCTGCTGGCTCAACACGTTCTTCACGAGCACTGCACTGCGGGCAGCACTAATCCTAGACTGCGATAGGGACTGGGGAAGGGAATGGGAAGCCCCCGCTTGGTTTTCCTTGAAACTGGTGCTGCCACCCAGAGATGGACTTATGGAGACCGTCATGCCTCTGGGTGTGGCGCTTAATTTGCTGCGCACTAGAATCACACTGGGTCCTACACTGGAGCCACTGCTGCTGCTGCGGCTGGCTGGCACTCCGCGTCCGGGCGTTGAGCGGGTGTTTTGAGCAGCCAGTGGCCGCTTGCTGGGTGACGAGTCCACGGAGACAGTGGCTCCTGCTCGCTGGACGGCTGGAAGGCGTCTCACCACGGTTTGGGTGGAGGCTCCGCTGTTGATGGAGGACCGTGAGGACCGCAGACTGTTGCGGGAACTGCTGCGTTCCACGCCGGAGAGGACCTGCTGCTCCTGGGGCGATCGTCGGACCGTGGATACTGAGCGAATGGGCGTGGCACTGGGCAGTGGATTTCCATTGGGCATGCGCATGGGTCGACTGGCGGAGAGGCTGCGCTTGATCTGGCCAACACTAGTTGCTGGAATTTGGTTGTGTGACTTGGTTGCAGCTTGTGACGCACTGGAGGCGGATGTGGAGGTGCCTCTGAGTCGTGCCACCTGCAGTCGATCGGCAAGCCGGCTGCCCATCTGGGTAATGCTGGTGGTGGTGGGCCTCTGCTTCTGGAGCGGGCGTGTCCGGCTGGGGGCATCGTTGGCCTCGTTGCACGAAGAGTTGGTGCTCTCGCCCTTGCCGTGGGAGGGCGTGTCGGACACGAGGCTCTGCGTCTCCTCGAAGCCCTCGTCGTTGAGCTCGTGGTGTCCGCTGCCGGAGATCTTCAGCTTTGTGGGCGTAATTTCGCGGGGTGGACTCCAGGGACGTTCGGGGGTTCCCGTTGGTGACTTCAGGTTGCGTATGGCCTCGCGCACATCTTCCTGGTTGATGGAGCTAATGTGGCGACCCACCTTCTCCAGTTTGGTAATCGTTCGCTCCTTTTGCTTGGCCTTTTCTGGCTGGTGTGTCTCCTGCTTACCCGAGGATGGTTTCAGCTCCGGCTTGGGCTCCTCGTTGCCACTGCTGTAGTCCGTTGGCCGCTTATAGCGACGCGTGCGTCGTCCTAGTGCATGGCGATCAAAGTGGCCGGGTGCATCGTGATCTGCGGATCCTACGACGATGCTGATCTTATCCTCGGGCACAGCCTTGGGCGCAACCTTGGGCTTGTCCGTCATGCTCACCGTCACCACAGTGGTCGTGGGCGTGGCCATCACACGACGACTCACCGGCGGCGTCTCGATGTTGTCGGCGTCGACCTCCTTGGAGGAGCCCGCTCCACACTGGGTCTCGTTGTGGCTCTTGTGGTGATTGAGTAGACTAGCAAAGGTGTCGTCTTGCTTGAGCTTTGGTGATTTGGGGGCCAGCTGCTCAGCCTCATCCTTCTTGGGCACCTCAGTCGGCTTCAGGTCCATTCCCGCTGGTCGTCTGCTGTCGCCCAGCTTCTGGAGGAGGGACTTGCGGCGATCCTCCTCGGCTATGGAATGCAGCACTCCGGGGCTCTGCTCCTGCGATCGCTGCCGGCGGTATTGACGCAGTCCCTCGGCGGTGTTGGACTGCTGTGCCGCCTCCGCCGTACTACTGGCATCGGCTATGGCCTGTAGATGGCCCACCACATCCGTCTGCTCCAGTGTCTTCGATGGTTTCCAGTCGGAGTAGAAGCGCTGGTATTTAGACTCCTGGTCCTGTCTGTTAGTTGGGTTAGTGTTCGCCATGTTCGTTGGCGTCGTTGTCGGCATGATCTTTTCCTCCGGCAATGGGTCCAGTTTTCGTTCGTTTTCTGCGCGACAATGGGAATCATGGTAGATATATGTATATATAGGACCTCTACATTGATCATGGACTCACCTGTATCGTTTTCGAGCGAACGCCGATTGGCGTTGACCAGACGGCGCTTGCGCTTGTACTCCTCGTTCTGCTTCTCATCGCTTTCGTTGGACTGCAGCCAGGTTTCGATCTTCTGGCGCCATTCACGGGATATTCTTGAAATGGCATCACATGATTAAAGTTTTCATAATGGATTGTATTTTAACTCGAAGAGTAAAAGTGGTATACACAGAAGAAACGTTTCCGACCCCATAAAGTATACATATGTATATATAAGTATATTCATCATCCGCGTTGATAGCCGAGTCTATGTTCGTCTGTCTGTCTGTCCGTCCGTCCTTCTGTCTTGCTTTACGACTAGTTCCCAGATACCATAAGATCTGTAGCAAACAAGAGTTTCATCCAGACTGCTGTACTATCACAATACTCGTAAAGGTACGAGAAAACCCAAAACCCAGTTCCGTAGAGAATAGTCATATCTATAACGAATTTAATTTGCAGTGGCTACCCTCAATCCTTCCAAGAAAAGAGCGTGTTGGTGTGAGAAGTGATTGGATCCCAATTCGGTCATCTGATAGATGTTGGCGTTAGTAGTTTTCTTGTATCTTCAAAATTGTGGCTGTGGGAGATTTTCGCCCTTTGTGGGGGCGGAAAAAGGGCGGCTCATTTTTGAAATACACTTGTAACAGTGGTGAGCATACAGAAGTCTGGATGCAAAAGTTGGTGGCTTCAGCTTTTATAGTCTCTGAGATCCAGGCGCTCAACAAGACGGACGGACGGACGGACGGACGGACGGACGGACGGATGGACAGACGGACGGACAGACAGTCATCGCTTAATCGCTGATCAAGAAAATATGTACTTTATGGGATCGAAAATGTTTCCTTCTTACATACATCCAATTTTGTGCACAAATACAGTATACCCTTTTAACTCTTCGAGTACCGGGTATAATAAATCGATTGAGTAGCTTTCAATGTTGACAGCTTGCTGAAGGGGTATTTCCTCGACTTTCGTACTCGGCACTTAGTTTGTTTATACATATATGTATGAGCAGATATGTACAGAATATATTCTATGCGTAACTGCTGGAATTGGTGTCGCAGCATACAACTAACGCATACTCTGTGGTATGGGGCCGGTAGGGTGCGTGGAAAAATCCATCCAAAAACTAATACATGTATACCTGAGCTATTTGAGTACCGGATACACCCAATTGAAGTACCTTGAAAACTGTTGGAGCCCCAGTTACAAGTCTATTCAAAAACCGTACATTTTCCCACCGAAAATTACGGAAACTTTCTGATAGTATAGACAAGAGATATCCGCCAGCAGGCCTAAAGCCTAATTTTTGAGTCAGGATTCTGAGAACCAAACACTAAGCGAACGCTTGATACACTTATGGCGTTACTTACCTCGGTTTCGCATCCTCGTGCACTGCCTGTGGCTGCGTAATGGGTGGCCCATTGCCTGTGGGCGTATTGGCTGACGTTGTGGGCGTGACAGTACCACTGGCCAACGGGGATTGCAGTCGGTCCTGCTGCTGTTGGAGCAGGGGAGCCGGTGAACTGGCCCGCTCGCGGTCCAGGCCAAAGTCAATGTTGAGCAGATCGGGTCGCCTGCGACTGGAGCTGCCGGAGCGGGCACGACGGGCCCAGGAGCGATCCAGACTCCCGTAGGCGGCTGCCTTTCGCTCGCGACTGATGTGGCCGTCGTGGGGTCCCGTGGAGCTGCGCAGAAACTCCATCAGATCATCCTCCTCGGCCAACACGCGACTGCGGCGACGCCTCAAGCTGCCGTTGGGGGTTATGTCTGGCGAGGCGCCGTCCGGCTCCAGGCGAATGAAACTGTTGCTGATCTCCCCGGAGCCCAGGTGTCGTCTGCTCAGCGCTGGGCTGGCGCGCGGATCAAACAGTGCATCGCCCAGAAAGGAGTGATCCGAATCGGACACGGGCGTCCCAGCCTGACCCACTGCGAAATAAATGATATCCGTCAGTATTTTTTTCAGAGAAAGGGACGCGGTTAATTGTGACCGGCATTTACTTTGCCTGGCTCTCTTGGCCAATTGGTCCTCACGCTGCTTCCTGCGCAGAGTCGCCTGCTGCTCCTGCTGCTGGCGCCTCTCGTTTTCCTTGACCGCCTGCCGGAACTTATCACAGAAATTCTGGAATATCTTAAAGCACTCTTCCAGTCGAAATGTGGCCACATCGTCGCAGAAGAACTCGGCCAGCTTCAGTCGCATGGCCTCCACCTGCTTCATGCCCGACTGCAACACAGCCAGCTCCGATTCGGCGGCCTGCAGAAACTCCGCCATCTGCTGCTTAATGTCCGTATCCGTGGCTGGCTGTTCGATTTGCCGAGTGATTCTCCTGATGCGGCCATCGAGGGTGCTGATTTCATTGTTGATCTGCTCAGATGTCGTTCTGAAAACAAAGATCGATCCATGACAAACCATTTCTCATATGTACATATAAACTATGTATTTCCGTCACTAACTTGCTGGCATTCTCCAGTGTGCTCAGCTGTC